GTCCTTTTGTGACTGACTTATTCCGCTCAGCATGATGTTTTCAAGATTCATCCATGTTGTAACATGCATCAGGACTTCGTTTTTCTTTATAGCTGCATAATATTCCATTGTATGTATGTCCCACGTTTTGTTTATCCATTCTTCTGCTGATGGACATTTAGGTTGTTTCCATGTTTTGGCTACTGTGAAAAGTGCTACTATGAGCATTGGTGTCTTAGTCATCTAGTGCTGCCACAACAGAAACACCACAAGTGGATGGTTTTAATGAAGAGAAGTTTATTTCCTCACAGTCAAAGCAGGCTAAAAGTCCAAATTCAGGGCATCAGCTCCAGAGGAAGGCTTTTTCTCTCTGTCGGCCTTCTTCTCTTCAGTGTTCCCCCGGACTAGCAGCTTCTCTGCGCAGGGACCCCGGTCCAAAGGAGGCGCTCTGCTCCCAGCATTGCTTTCTTGATGGTATGAGGTCCCCCTGTCTCTCTGCTCACTTCTGTCTTTTATATCTCAAGAGATTGCCTCAGGACACAATCCAGTCTTATAGACCCAGTCCTGCCTTACTAACACAACTGCCACCCATCCTCCCTCATTAACATCATAGAGGCAGGTTTACAACATACAGGAAAATCACGCAGTACCAGGAATCATGGCCTAGCCAAATTGATACACACATTTTTTGGGGGACATAATTCAAACCATGACAATTGGTGTACAGGTTTCTGTTTGTGTTCCTGCCTTCACTTCTGGGTGCAGGTGTTTCTTGAACATAGGAACCTGCAGGTGGAATTGCCAGCTGGAAGGGCACAGCCAAATTGTCTCTGGGCAGCTACACTCTTACAGTGACACATACACAGACATGCGTAAGGGACATGCAAACAACAGAATGCAGCCATGAGAGGGCCAGGAGGTGGTTACAGGGAAGAGAGAAGGGGGACAGGGGAGGTCGACATGAGTCAGAGCTCAGCATGTGGGCTGGTGGTTGCCATTGGCTTCTGATTTTTGAGGATCTCTTGGTGACAGGTGGGGTTTCTGTAACCAGCCTGTGGATGCAGTCTCTGAATGGGGAAGCAGTGTGGTGAAGTAGAAAAAGTGCAGTTTCTGGAGCCAGAAATGACTTTGAACCCCTGACTCAACACTTACTTGCTGTGTGACTCTTGGTAAGTTGTTTTGTCTCTCTGATCCTCAATTGCCTCGTCTGCAAAATGGGATAATAATACCCATCTCTTATAAAGACTGAATGAAATAATGAATATCAAGTGCTGAAGCATAGCTAAAACTAGTTGCCATTGAGTCAATTCTGACTCATGGTGACCCCATGTGTTTCAGAGTAGAACTGTGCTCCATAGAGCTTTCAAGTGTTGTGACCTTCCAGAAGTAGATTACCAGGGCTTTCTTGCAAGGTACCCCTCAGTATATTTGAATTGCCGGTCTTTTGGTTCGTACCTGTGTGCCTCTCCATTCGTGCCACCCAGGGACTTGATGTATAGCTAGTACTCAATAAATGGGGATGTTGCTGGTTTGGAGTCACTGGGGCCTTGGGTTGAAGCTTTGTACTGGTGCAGTGTGACCTTGGAAAGGTCCCCTACCTTCTCTGAGCCTATTTCTTTCTTTCTTCCCTCTTGCCTGAGTTCGTAGGTCAATTCTTTGGGGAGAAGAGAAGGAAAAACCTGTTTTTTTCCCCAGAAAGATGAGATAGTAAATCTCAGCTCCTCTTTACCCCCTTTTTGAGCCCCTTGTCACTTTTGATTCCCCCACAAATATATCCCCAGGGGCCTCAGGTTCCCAGTGCCCCAGAGCTCTGACAAAATCAGGGCTGCCTCTTGCTCCCCTCCACGGGCCACCAGGGGTCAGAGGTACCTGTATGAGTGGGACCTGCTGGAGGCAGTGTCTCCCCTTCCCCACTGATGGCACTGATTTGAAGATATGGTAGGTCTTAGGTGATTCTTTTGGGGAAGCAAGAGCCTCTTCCTCTAGGCTGACAATGGAGGGCCCACAGAGGCCATGTAGAGGCCACCCTGGAGGAGAGAAAACCAGAACAGGACAAAGAAAAGCAGACCGTTTCCTCTCTTGCTGACTCAGGGCCAGACCTAGAAAGCAGGCTTGAGTGGTGGGGTGGAGTTGAACACCCCCTAGCTGTAGAGATGCCAGTCACGCTCTGGAACCTGGTGAGTCAGAGCATTTGTTCTGACATCTGTGCTGCTTTGGGGAAACCAGAGCTGCTGGCAGAAGGACAGGCCCCCCGAGGGTGCTGACAGTTACCCCAACATCATATACTTACCACTGAGCCACATCATGGCTATCCGGTAGTCGTTGTTGTTGTTGTCAGGTGCCGTCGAGTCGGTTCCGACTCATAGCGACCCCACGTACAACAGAACGAAACAATGCCCGGCCCTGCACCATCCTCACAATCATTGTGATGCTTGAACCCATTGTTGCAGCCACTGGGTCAGTCCATCTCATTGAGGGTCTTCTTCCTTTTTGCTGACTCTCTACCAAGCATGATGTCCTTCTTCAGGGACTGGTCTCTCCTGATAACGTGTCCAAGGTATGTGAGATGAAGTTTCGCCATCCTTGCTTCCAAGGAATATTCTGGCTGTACTTCTTCCAAGACAGATTGGTTCATTCTTCTGGCAGTCCATGGTATATTCAATATTCTTTACCAACACCATAATTCAAAAACATCAATTCTTCTTCAGTCCTCCTTATTCATTGTCCAGCTACAATCATGTGGTCAGCACTTATTAATCTACGTCAGGCACTGTGCATACAGTTATTATCCACAGTGACTCCATAAGCTGAGTATTGTTTTCCCATTTTACAGATGTCAAGACAGAGGCTCTCTCAAGATCACAGAGTAAGTGGTAGAGGCATGATTTGAAGCTAGATTACCTGTCTTAAAAGCCCAGCTCTTGCCTGCATGATGCTGCCTCACCAAGAGAGAAGAAATCAAGGGTTCTCTTAGGCTGCTCGTCTGTGAATTTGTCCTTGAGGTTCAGTATAGCCAGATTTCACCTGGATGAACACACTAGGAGGTGGGGGTTATAATGTGCTTTGTTTCTCCCCCTCCATTCCCTGCCACTCCAGAATTAGGCCTGCAGTAGCTTCCCTGCTCCCATAAAAACAAAGAGGTGCCATGGAGTTGACTCCATATCATGGTGACCTTATGTGTACTCCATAAGATTTTCAATGGCTGTTTTTTTGGAAGTAGATAGCCAGGCCTTTCTTCTGAGGTGCTTCTGGGTGGACTCGAACCTCCAATCTTTCCATTAGTAGCTGAGCACGATTTTTGCACCATCCAGGGACTCCTCTGCTCCCATAGATAGTACATAGCTGGGGTTTCAGCACCATGGACAGGACAATAACTCTGGCTAGCTGGAAGAGGTGGGGAAAGGCGGATGTTGGCTGTGATGCTCTCTGGGGATGACACATATTCTTGGCTTCTGCTCCTCTGCCCCCTTTCCATCTGTGGAAGGTTGCCTGAGAATCTGGTTTCCTTCCTGCCTCCTTTTGACCCTTTCATCTTGTCATGCCCAACCTGCCTCTGACTGCCTCAAGAACTAAGCTGGCCTCTCATGCTATTTAGAGAGAGTGCTGAGGGAATCCCTGGCTTTCAAAGTCCAGGTATGTTCCTGGGGCAGCACACGCCCTTTGCATAGTTTATGATGAATTGTGCACACCTTTGCATGCTGGTGTTCACTTAAATTGTACATACAGGTGGGTCTCACTTTGTGTAAATCCGATACATGAAAATCCAAATTGATTACAACACTTGGTTTAGAGGAGGGCTTCATGTCCCAGCTTTCATGGACCCCTAGGGGTTTCATGGATGGACTTCAAGTTGGTCTCTGAATCCTCTGTGTGGGAATTTTTTTTTTGTGTGTGTATATGCATGTATGCATGTATAAAAATTTACATGCTGTTTATTTTCTGGAGAGAGATTTTTGTGGATTTCGTTAGATTCTCAAAAGTTAATGAATTTCAGAACTTAAGAGAACTGCTGGGCTAAAGGATCTTCCAGTTCAGAGATCCTTTTAAGGTTTTGGGACTGCTGGTCCTCAGTTTGTAAAGTTAAATTCTAACCTTCCTGTGCCCATGCTTTCTTTCAGTGGCTGCTGTGGGGCAGCTGTTTCCCTCTTTCTCCCCCTCCCTGCTTCTGAAAGTCCACATTTGAGAACGGAGATGCCTGACAATCCAAGGTGTAATTTCAGTTGTAAAATTCCAAAGTTACTAGCACCCCTAGCAATTTATAATTGGTTTAATTGCAGATATTTGCTTTGTGCACACATTTTCAAAAAAGCAGTTGTTTTGTGGAGCATGAGAGTAATGGCAAAGCCAATCCTTCAAAATATGAAGAGAATTCATATACAAAGAGATTGCCAAGCCCTGGATAGCAAGCAGGTTTTCTTTTTTCAAGTACTGTTCAATTGCAACTAATTTTTTAGTGCCAAAGGCTTTGGAAGGTGCTGGGGCTCTTTGTAATGTGTGTTGACCTGCACTGTGTGTCGTCCTTTGCAGGGATGGTTGTTTTTCTGAATCATTCTGATTTGTGTCTGGGGCAGCACTGCTGTATTGTTGCATTTTCTCCTGTGAAATGGGTCAGGGTTAGGCCTCAGTGTGGGCCCAGGATCAGGGCTCAGTCTATTGTTGGGGTCCGGGCTCAGTCTGGGGGTAAGGTTGGGGCTTCAGTCTAGATTCAGGGTCGAGGCTGTTTGTGACTACCATTATGTAGGGCTCAGTCTCTGGTAGGTGTCAGGGTTCAGTCTGGGATCATGACCAGGGCCTAGTTCATTGTGGAAGTCAGGGCTTGGTCTGGAGCCAGGGTCAAGGTTCAGCCTGGAGTGAGAGTCAGGCCTCAGACCAGGACTACAGTTGGGGCTCAGTCAAGGATCAGGGCTCAGTTTATTGCTGGTCTTAGGGTTCAGTCTAGAATTGGGATTGAGGCTGTCTGAGGCTGGAATCAGGGTCAGATTGGGGCTCTTATCTGACTCATGTGGCCTTCCCTTCTGCAGGTGCCTCGGACCCCACGTTCAGGGGTGGAGTCGGCTGAGAGCAGGCGTTTGGCCACCAAGCACAGCAGGAAGGCCCTGAAGGCTAGCCTGACACTGAGCATCCTGCTGGGCATGTTCTTTGTGACCTGGCTGCCCTTCTTTGTGGCCAGCATAGTCCAGGTAATGCCACAGCAGGGGCAGGTGAGTCCGGGCCTTGCTGGGGAGGCCCTGAGCCCCACCCCACCTCAGACACAGGGAGGGAGGAGGGTGGGCTGCCCCTCATGGTGGATGTGTTGTGTGCGCCTGTTCCATCATCCATGCTGGGTGGGGTGGTCTGTGTCTCTGCCCCAGGACCAGGTGTGACATGTCCCCATCCCCGCAGGCCGTGTGTGACTGCATCTCCCCAGACCTCTTCGATGTCCTCACATGGCTGGGTTACTGTAACAGCACCATGAACCCCATCATCTACCCACTCTTCATGCAAGACTTCAAGCGGGCCCTAGGAAAATTTCTGCCATGTCCCCGCTGTCCCTGGGAGCGCCAGGCCAGCCTCGCCTCACTGTCTGTGCGCACCTCTCAAAGTGGCCCCCGGCCAGGCCTGAGCCTGCAGCACGTGCTGCCCCTGCCCCTGCCCCCCAACTCAGACTTGGACTCAGACTCGGGTGGCTTCTCAGGCCTGCAGCTCACGACCCAGCTTCTGTTGCCTGGAGAGGCCACCCAGGATCCCCCACCACCTGTCCAGGCCGCTGCTGCTGTCAACTTCTTCAACATTGATCCAGTGGAACCCGAGCTGCGGCTGCACCCACTTGGCACCCCCACAAACTGACCCAGGCCTGGAGCTGGCCAGTGGGGAGATGGATTGGATTGGACCCAGTCTCTCAGGACTCAGGTCAGCTCTTGGCCAAGGCCAGGAGGCTGCAGGTCTCCTTGGAGCCCTCTGAGCTCCACCGGGGTGCACTGACCAACCTCCACTGTCCACTCCAGGCCACCATCTGGTGGGAGAGTAGCTGGCTCAGATACTGTGTTCTCCAGGATGCTCTATCATTGCATGTCCCTTGCAGACATGTGTAGAGGATGGCTGGAGGATGCTGGGAGTTGGGGAGAAGGACCAGTTGGTTCAGATTAGGAAGAAAACAATCACGTCCTTTGCACATTCTATCAGGCTTGATGGGAAGTAACGCTTCTGTCTGCAGAGATGGATTAGTGCTTGGCCGAATTCCTCACTACTCAAAGTGTGGTCCACAGGCCAGCAGTATCAGCATCACCTGGGATTTTGCAAAAACTGCACATCCCTGCCCCACCCCAGACCTGCCGAGTCAGAATCTGCATGCCAACAAGATCCCCAGGTGATTTGTATGCACATTACAATTTGAGATGTGCTGGCTTACCAGTACCAGTTTACTGATTCACGTCCAGTTGATTCCAACTCCTGGCAACCACATGGGTGTCAGAGTAGAACTGTGCTGCATAAGGTTTGCGTGGCTGATTTTTGGAAACAGAATCACCAGGCCTTTCTTCCCAGGCGCCTCTGGGGGTAGACTTGAACTGTCAACTTTTCGGTTAGCAGCCAAGTGTGTTAACTGTTTGCACCACCAGGGACTCCTTGGCTGGCTTAGATGATTTTTAACCTGGAGTATGATTTGCTGGACAAAGTTTTAGGATCTGCCAGCCCCTCAGGATGGCTGTACCTCCCACATAGCAGCACAGAAAAGTGGCTGAGCTTGGGGGTCTGGCTAGGCATGAAATGTCTGCTCCACTGCTTACTAGCTCAGGGGCTTTGCACAGGTCATCAACCTCTCTGAGCCTCAGCAATTCTGTGTGCAAAATGGGTAATGATGCCTATCTTGTACGGTTGTCACGAGCACCCGGAAAGTGGTCAGTAAGTGGTATGTGCTGTTATCATTCCTGGCCATCCAGCCCCCCGGCCTCCGGCTGTGGGCAAGGGAGGGCTATTGGTGCCCACTGTTCTTTTCCTATTTTCCTCCTCCTGAGCCCCAGCCCAGATTCCCAGTCTCAGTTCTGGTTCCCCAGCTCCTTGTTCTGGGTGCTGGGTGGGGCCCCACCCCTCAGGCACCCTCACAGCTCCCAAGCTGCTGCATTCTCTTCTGGGGGTAGAGGGGCAGCTGGAGGTTTCTTGCTCAGCATCAGGATGGGTTTTCCTCCATCCCGGGCTTCCTTGGAACTAGAAAGGAACCAGCTGACGGAGACAGAACCAGGGCCTTGCCCTGCCTCCTTCAGGCCTTCCCTGGGGTCAGTGAGGGCATGGGAGTGGTGGTCACCGGGTCAGCGGAGCAGAGTTGAAGAGGAGCTGTTCCTGGTGTGGGCTGCGCCCCAGGCAGGAAGCTGGACTCTGGCACAGGGGCCTTTTTCTGGGGGAGGGGGAGGCTCTCATTTCCTCTGTTTACCTGCCACAGGTTCCTTTTCAGCCTGAGGCTTTTTTTAATCCCCCCGAAAGTTCCATCAACCCAAACTCCCGGGGGTCCTCCATGGCTGCCCTGCTGCTCTCCTCGGTGCTGATCAGACTCAATTCCGGCCCTGGCCGCAGGCCGCAGAGGGGCCATGGTGCTTGCTGGGGCTTCCCCATGGCCCCCAGGCCTGGCCAAGCAGACTCTCAATAAACACCAGCTGAAGGCGGTGACTTGGGTGTGGACTGGATTCACCTGTGGGGCCACTCGGGCTATGAGAAGCAGCTGGTGTCGTGGGAAGAGACTGGTGGAGGTGTCCTGGGTTTGGGACTCAGAAAAGTCATTTCCCCTCTCAGGGCCTCAGTTTTCCATGCATGACAGAGCAGGCACAGCTATCAGCAGCAGTTCTGTAAATATCTGCTGAATGAACAAATACCCTAGCTCCGATACTCTATGACTCTAATTCTCCTGCTCCTCTGTCTCCTACTTTCTCTTCCGGGGCTTTGGCTCCCCCATCTGCACAATAGGGAGAATTATCTCTGGCCCTGACACTCAGGGACAGTGGGAGGAACAAAAGGGAAGATTCCTACGGATGCCGACACAGTGGTTAAGAGCCTGGGCACAGGAGTCTGACTGGGGTTTGAGACTTGACTCCATCACTGACCATCTGTGTTACCTTGAGCAGGTTACCTAACCTCCCTGGACCTCAGGTTTCCCAAGTTTAAAATGGAGATAACGGTAGTACCCACCTTATAGGGTTGTGTGAGGGTCAACTGAGACAATCCATGCAAGCATTCGGTACATGGTAAATATTAAATGAGTGGTAGTTCTTATTATTATTTATAATTAATTGTTGTTATCACCCCTGTTCCTGCTACAAGAAATCCTTCCCCTGTATAATTCCTTTTTCACCAGGCCCACCTCCCACCCACAGTGAATGCTAAAATTCAGCATTTATTCACCATGCTCTTACAACTTCGGGGGGCGCTGTTCACATCACAGTCTTTGTGACTGATGCCCCCTATGGATGCGTAGTGTTCAGCCTGCACGGTGGATACCTGGCTTTACTGAGGCCTGGGGAGTGTCGGTGTGGCAGCCTTGGGCCCCAGAGAGCCCCTGAGACCTCCTGATGGACAGCCAGGCCCAACCCCACAGCTGGTTTCCAGTCCTGGGGCTCTAAACTGTGGCTGGTTGACTTCAGTTCTCTGGCCTTGCTTTCCCAGGGAGGACAAGTCTTCTCCCTCCCCCTCTTTCCAATTCTTCACCTCAGGAAAGGCACTTCTGGAAATTCTGTACCTTCAGAGCTCATCTGGGGAGCTGATGGAGGGGCGAGGGGGCTGCATAGAGAACTCTGGGAGGACAGCTCAGTTGCCGTGCGGGGGTCAGTCCAGTCCTGGGCAGGGCCCCTGGGTCTGGCTGGCACAGTCGGGGCAGCCCAGTGGGTTGGGGCCCACGATGTGGCTGCAGACATGGGGGCTCTCGATGGGGTTGATGGTGGCAGGAGGGGAGGCTCCTTCAGGTTGGTCCAGCCCCGCTGGCACCTCGGCTTGGCTGGGGTTGGTGGATGTGGCAACTTTAGGGGTGTCCTCGGGGGTGAGACCCTGGGCTTGCTCATCCTGGTGACTGGTCTCTCCTAATGATGAGGAAGGGGATGCCCCCTGGCGAGGCTCCTCTTGGGGCAGGCTGCCTGGGGCCAGCAAGAGGCCTTTCTCATCCCAGCCTGGCTTGGTGCGGATGCCCACAGCCTTCAGGATGACGTCCATCTTCTTGGCATAGTCCAAATGGCCGCTGACCTGCAGAAAGACAGTGAGTGAGGGCAGTGAGTGGGTAAAGCCTGGCCCTCCCGGGGGCCCAAGCGAAACTCCTGGACCTCCCACTCCCCTGAAGCATCCTCAGCCAATCAATTGCCAGTCCCACGACTCTAACCCTCAGTGTTCCCCAGATCCAGAGTGGGGCCTCAAGGTTCAAGGCTGTTCTAGAATTTATTAAAGATGAAGCAAGTTAATCTCAAAAATCTAGGTCCTCCTGGCACAGGAAGGAATGTCCTGATGGACAGAAAGCTGGGATGGAAGTTCTCACTCCCTGGCTGCAGCTTGCGGCTACAGTGGAAGGGCTCTGCTGCTCACTAGCTCTGGGACCTTGGGCAAGTCCCATATACCTCTGACCCTCAGTTGTCTCAGTGGTCAGATGGGGACAATAACTACAGCAGAGTGTTGCTCTGAGGTAAATGAAATAATGCCAAGAAAGTGCTTCGCACAGTTACTCTCCCGTGAAAAGCCCCAAATTGAAAATAAAGCAATGGCACAGATTGCAAGGTATCTTCTACAATTCACTCTCCCCTTCTCCCTTAGTCATAAGAACCCCAATTTATACGTCCCCCAGCCTCTCTTGCAGTTAGGTGTGCACTTCTGACAAGTTTTGGTCAATGAGATAAAGCAGTGGTGTTATCTGGTGCTCCTTGGAAATCTCTTTTAAGGGTTGGGGGTACTCTCCCATTTCCTCTTTCCTGCTGGCTGGAATTCAGATGTAATGGCCAGAGCTTGAGCACTTATTTTGTGCCTGAACTGCTTCTGGATTTCTTTTACAAGACATTATAAACCCTTGTGTGTGTAAGCCACTTCAGGTGGGCCTGAATCTTGACTAAGACAAAGGCCAAGAACTCAGAAGTGCCCACCCCCTTCTTCAGAGAATAGAGACACTCGCATTTTTGTGTTGAGATGTGTCAGTGACTGAAAAGTTGGGATGTGATTGGACTACCTCATGCCTAACTGTAATAATGGACATAAAAAAAAAAAACCAGTTGCTGTAGAGTCAATTCCAATTCATGGAGACCCCATGTGTGTCAGAGTAGAACTGTGCTCCACAGAGTTTTCAATGGCTGATATTCTGAAAGTAGACTGCAAGACCTTTCTTCTGAGGTGCCTCTGAGTATACTCAAACCTCTAACCTTCTGGTTAGCAGTCCAGTGTGTTAACTGTTTATACCACTCAAGGACTCCAATAATGGACATGTTGTTATGTGCCACTGAATCGATTCCGACTCATAGCAACCCTGTAGGACACAGTAGAACTGCCTCATAGGGTTTCCAAGGCTGCAATCTTTTTTTTTTGCTAAATTTTACTTATTGTTGAGAATATACATGGCAAAACATACACCGATTCAACAGTTACTACATGTTAGTTCAGTGACACCGTGTTGTGCAACCCTTCTAACCCTCCTTTTCTGAGTTGTTCCTCCCCCATTAACATAAACTCACTGCCCCGTAAGGTGCATCTCTCTAATGGCTAATGATCATGAGCACTTCCTTATGTGTCTGTTAGCTGCCTGAATGTCTTCTTTGGTGAAGTGTCTGTTCATATCCTTTGCCCATGTTTTAATTGGATTGTTTGTCTTTTTATTGTTGAGGTGTTGAAGTTTTCTATAAATTTTAGCAATTGGACCCTTGTTGGATATGTCACAGCCAACAATTTTTCCCCAATCTGTAGGTTCTCTTTTTACTCTCTTGGAGAAGTCTTTTATTGAGCGTGTTTCATTTTTAGGAGGTCCCATTTATCTAGTTCATCTACTCTGTGTGCATTTTTAGTTATGTTTGGTATTTTATTTGTGCCATATATTCAGGCCCTTAGTGTTGTCTCTATTTTTCCCTCCATGATCTTTATAGTTTTAAGTTTTATACTTAGGTCTTTGGTCCATTTTGAGTTAGATTTTGTGTATGCTGGGAGGTATGGTTCTGTTCCATTTTTCTACAGATAGATATCCAGTTTTGCCAGCACTATTTGATAAGCCCCATTTAATAAACTTTGGTCCTTTGTCCAAGATCAGCTGTCCGTAGGTGGATGGATTTACGTCTAGGTTCTCACTCTGTTCCATTGGTCTATGTGTCTGTTGTTGTACCAGTACCAGGCTGTTCTGACTACCGTGACTGTATAGCAGGTTCTGAGATCAGGTAGTGTGAGGCCTCCTACTTTGTTCTTCTTCTTTAATAATGCTTTACTTGATCGGGACTTCTTTCCCTACCATGGAAATCCTAGTGGTGGAGTGGTTAAGAGTTCGACTGCTAACGAAAAGGTTGGCAGTTTGAATCTACCAAGCGCTCCTTGGAAACCTTATGGGGCAGTTCTGTTCTGTCCTATAGGGTTGCTATGAGTTGGAATCTACTTGACAGCAATGGGTTTGTTGTTTTTTTTACCTTCCATATAAAGTTAGTGATTAGTTTTTCCATTTCATTGAAGAATGTTGTTGGGATTTGGATGGGGATTGCATTATATCTATATATTGCTTTGGGTAGTATCGACATTTTCACAACATTAAGTCTTCCTATCCAAGAGCATGGTATGTTTTTCCATTTATCTAGGTCTCTTCTGGTTTCTTGCAGTAGTGTCTTGTAGTTTTCTTTGTGTTAATAAGTCTGTTACGTTCCCGGTTAGATTTATTCCTAAGTATTTTATCTTTTTGAGGCCTCATGTGAATGGCACTGTTTCCCTGATTTCCTTTTCAAAGTTCTCTTTGTTGCTGTAGAGGAATCTAATTGATTTTTGTATGTTGATCTTGTATCCTGCCACGTTGCTGAATCCTTCTATTAGTTCCAGTAGCTTTCTTGTGGAATCTTTGGAATTTTCTACGTATAGGATCATATCTTCTGGAATAGGGATAGTTTTACTTCTTCCTTACTAATATGGATGCCTTTTATTTCCTTTTCTTGCCTTATTGTTCTTGCTAGGGCTTCCAATACAATGTTGAATAAGAGTATCGATAAAGGGCGTCCTTGTCTGGTTCCGGTTTTCAAGGGGAATGTTTTCAGCCTCTCTCCACTGAGGATAATGTTGGCTGTTGGCTTTGTATAAAGGCCCTTTATTCTGTTGAGGAATTTCCCTTCTATTCCTATCTTGCCGAGAGCTTTTATCAGGAATGGGTGTTGGACTTTATCAAATGCCTTTTTTGCATCATTGAGATGATCATGTGATTCTTTTCCTTTGTTTCATTTACATGGTGGATTACACTGATTGATTTTCTAATGTTGAACCATTCTTGCATGCCCGGTATGAATCTCACTTGGTAGTGATGTATTATTTTTTTGATATGCTGTTGACTTCTATTGGCTCGATTTTGTTGAGAATTTTTGCATCTATATTCATGAGGGATACTAGTCTGCAGTTTTCTTTTTTAGTGATGTCTTTGCCTGGCTTTGGTATCAGGGTTATGCTGGCTTCATAGAATGAATTCAGAAGTATTCCTTCCTTTTCTGTTCTCTGAAATAGTTTGAGTAGTACTGGTGTGAGCTCTTCTCTAACTATTTGGTAGAATTCTCCAGTGAAGCCATCTGGGCTGGGGCTTTTTTGGTTGGGCTAGGCTGTAATCTTTACGGAAGCAGATCACCAGGTCTTTTCTCCCTCGGAGCAGCTGGTGAATTCAAACTGCCAACCTTTTGGTTAGCAGCCGAGCGCTTAACCACTGCAACATAGTAGGTCCCTAATACATTGTAGCAAATAAGTGTACTGGACATATTCCTTTGACAGGTGTCAGCTGCTAATTGGAGTCCCTGGACGGTGCAAATGGTTAACGCACTCAACTGCTAACCAAAAGGTTGGTAGTTCAAGTTTACCCAGAGCTGCCTTGGAAAAAAGACCTGGGGATCTACTTCCAAAAAATCAGCCATTGAAAACCGTATGGAGTACAGTTCTACTCTGACACACGAGGTCACCATAAATTGGAATCGACTCGATGGCAAATGGTGGTGGTAATATCATCTGCTGCCACTCTACAGATGAAGAAACTGAGCCACAGAGAGGTCAAGTGACTTGCCCAAGGTTATACAGCTAAAACATGGCAGAGCTGGGATACAAATCCAGATCTGTCTGTCTTTAAAGCCTGTGCTCTTTCATAGAAAGTCGGCGGGGTAGAGGCATTTAAAAATTATTCTCATTTTACAGATGAGGGCAGTGAAGCCCAGAGAGGGGCAGTGGTTTACTAATGACACACAGCACGTGAACAGCAAAGCCATGTGCTGTGCTTGAGAGACCATGTGTGGAGGCTGCTTAGCTCAGATCTCCCTGAAATTGAGCCTCCCTCTCCCTCCAGCTGTCTAGGGGGCCTGCACAAGTGCCACAGGCAAGCACAAGGCAGAACATTCCTCTAAGGCCGAGGGGAAGGTTTTTATTTAAAAAGAGGACCGGAAAACACTGGGGAACCTCAGGAAATAACACGAAGACTTTGTATTTCTATTTGAATCACAAATCACACTGGGTTATTCAAATGATTTTTCAAAAACACAGAAAAGACAATTCCCTAAACAGTTTTGTTATTTTCTCATGATCAGAACCTGCCTACTTCTTGTTCCTTTCCTTACAAATGGTTTTAAACAGTTTTCAGTGAAAATACACACATATGTAAGTGGCTTCTTCAGGCCCTGGGTTCTGAGTAGGAGTCTGAGTGGCCCTAACAGTTAACCCTTTGGTGACTCAATTATTTTCTGCTTTGAATTTTTTGTTGATACCACATGTACTCATTAATGGAAGCATGCTGAATCATTGCGAGTGTCTGAATTTTGGTTTAAGTAGCATGGATTTTTTTTGTTGTTGTTGCCCCCACCACAAGCCTACCTTAAGTGTTTAGTGGTACATATGAAGTACCACTAATTATAACCCAGACTCCCCACCGGGGTCTATTGGTACGTATGTGTAACAAAAATTTTCAAAATTTCCATTTTTCCTATACAAATTCAGACATCTCATACGATACCCTGTAAAAACAGTAATTTGTGGCACATACCCATTTCTTCAAACAGTCATAAAGGCCCCTGCCTTGTTGTCGCATGCACTGTCAGTGGTACAGGAGCTTCCCAATAAACCCCAGAGACTGAAAAACTTCATGGTTGCTATATGTAATGCCAGGCACGAAAAGGTTAAGTGCTTGAGCCGCCAAACTTTTGGTTAGCAGCAGACTGCATTAGCCATTTACACCACCCAGGGACTTTAAAAGGTTGGAAATTCGAGTCCATTCAGAGGTGCCTCAGAAGAAAGGCCTGGTGATCTACTTTAAAAAAGCAGCCATTAAAAACCCTGTGGAGCACAGTTCTACTCTGCCACACGTGAGGTCGCCAGGAGTTGGAGTTAACTCAACAGCGACTGGGCTGGCACATAGAAGGTGCTCCATAAACACCAGTTTCCTCAGAAGGGGATGGAGAGTAGGAACTTAGTTGGGCTGATCCATTTGGCAGCCTAATTCCTTGAAACCTCACACCCACAGGAACAGACAAGAACTGCCTCCCTAAACCTTTTTAATATTGGTGAAGGTCTGGAGCCAGGGCTGTGTGGAGATTGTGGCCACCAGCTGTAGCTAATTCCAGATGGAAATCTCACCTTGCAGCTGTCCTAGAATGTACAGCTCAGCCTCCTTGGCTACAAGCTGGTTGGGGTTTCAGCCAACCCTAGTGCCTGAGCTGTCATTCTGCAAAGATGCAGGGGGAGAAGTTGCTGGCAGAGAGTTTCAATTTTGCGCTTAGCCAGAGGGATGAGAGAGCAGGGGTGAGGAGGGTGGGAAAGAGTCTCTTCTTAGCATGGAAAGTTCTGGCTTGGCTGATGCTGGACAGACACTTCAGCCCGTGACCAGCTCCTGGCTGTCTGGATTAAAATCTGTCACCTGCCCAGATACACACTGGGTGTCACTTGTGTTGAGAAGCCTTCCCTGATCTTGCCATGCTGGTTAGGGACCCTCCCATGGCTCCCCAGTGATGGCACTCACTAACCTCCATCGTCACTTCTAACTCACCTCCGCTCCCTGGCAGCCAGACCCATACACCGTGGGTGCCCAGGGGTCCCCGCATACACACAGACACAAATGGGACTCGGCACTTCCTGTTTCCTGCCTTACAACACACCTCAACTTGCCCAAACTGAGGCTACCACCACCACCTCTGCCTGCCCCAGCAGCTCCTTCCAAGCCTATCAGGCCTCCTTGGGTTCCTTCATCTCCTGGGCCTCAGTTTCCTCATCTGTAAAATGTGGCTAATACAGCTACTTACATCGCATGAGCTGATAGTGAGGATTCAATGAGATCAGACATGTAGCAGGCTCATTGGCACAGAGTTAGAGGTGACTGGAAGCTAAACAGAAGCATGAATACAGGCAGAACAAACGCAATGGTTAAGTGCCAGTAGGTTCCCTAGGTTCGCCGGCTCTATCATTCACTTGCTGTGCCACCACCTGCAGCCTCGGTTTCCACATTTTTAAACCGGGGTCATGATGCCTACTTCACAGGACTGCTATGAGGATCAAATGAGATAATACCTGTAAAGAACCCACGTAGAGCAATACCTGGCACTTAAAGGTAGCTATGATTGTTATTGAGTGTCTACTTTGTGCCAAGCCCTGTGCTATGTTCTAGAAGCCAGCTGGCATTTCCTTTGAAACATGAAGAGTCTTGCCCTGAGCTAGGTCTCTGCCTCCCAAAAGCCTCACGAGTTGGTGTCTGCTCTGGGGAGGCAGAATCCCCCCACCTGCCGCAACCCTGTCTCTCCACACAGGACAGGCGAAAGGCAGGAAGGCAGCGTGGCTGTGGTGGGCTTCATTCTCTCAGGAGATGCCCGCCCGCCTGAGACGGGGCCAGCCCCTCACTCACTCAGGGCTTGGGCTTGTCCTGAGGTCGGGAGCCACCTCGGCCAGTCTGGGGTCAGGGTGCGGGGGCAGACACCCGGGTTGGTCCACGGAGGGCCCTGGCCATGCTGGTCCTGCAGTGTCTCTGCTCTGAGCCAAGGGCGGCTAGTGTTTCCCCAACGGTAGTCCTGGAAGCTGCTCTGCTAGTGACCTCTCCTCCAGTCAGATTTTTCAAGGAAAACAGGAGGGCAGCACAAAGGCAATGCTAATTACCTCTAATTATCCAGAAGAGCAAAGCACTGCTTTCTGTGATGAGCTGCTAATGTGATAAAGAGCTATTATTAGGCAGGAGCTGGGAAGCTGCCACCCGTGACAGTGTGAAGAGGGAGAGGAGATACAGAAGCTGCTGGTCCCACAGGAAAGGAACTGACAGTGATGGCAGGGACAGGAGAGGAGGAAACCAGCATTAAATGAGGGCCTGCTAGACTTGACGGCAATGGGTCTGGTTTGGTTTGGTTACTACATGCCACGCATCTGGAAGGTAGGTGATGCCTCTCATTTCATAGATGAGGAAACTGAGACACAGAGAGGTTAAGTAATTGGTCCAAGGTCACAAGCTGGCCAACCAGTGGCTAAGCCAGGATTCTAAGCCAGGTCTCTCTGGTATTAAAGGCTGTGCTTGTCCCACTGTATCCCATCAGGGGCTTTCCCCAGGCAGAAGCTGGATTTTGTGAGGGCTTTGTGGCATTTCATTTCAAAGGAATTTTTAGCTCTTCCTTCTTAAGTTTGATTTTTCTGGAAGCTCTGCTGAAATCTGTCCACCATGGGTGACCCTGCTGGTATGCGAAATACCAGTGACATAGTTTCCAGCATCACAGCAACACACAAGCCACCACAGTATGAAAAACTGCCAGAATGTTCCTTAGAAGCGAGGATGGCGAGATTCAGCTCACTTATTTTGGACACATCATCAAGAAAGACCAATCGCTAGAAAAGGACATCCTGTTTAGTAAAGTAGAGGATCAGTGAAAATGAGGGAAATCCTCCATGAGATGGATTGACACAATAGCCGCAGCACTGGACTCAAACATGCAATAATTATGAAGATGGTGCAGGACCGGGGAACATCTTGTTCTGTCGTACATGGGGTCAGAACCAACTCCATGGCAACAAACAGCAATAAACAGCTACCATGTGGGGCTGTTGTGAGGTTTACGTCAGAGGGGGCAAGTGTATCAGGGATAAAGACAATCTAAGAAATCTACGAGTAGTAGATCATATCCATTCTGGGGAAGGAACAATGGGTTTCATGACTGGATGAGTCTAGAAACTCCTCTTATTCTTGGGCAAACAAAAGCCCCCAGGAAGCTCCTGGTTAGGAAGGCATGGGTCTGCTTCCTCTGTGTTCCTCAGGTAGGTTAGGACTTGTGTGTCAGCGCCCTGGGAGTTTGGGGGAGCAAAGATGCAAGTGAAGATGAACTGGCTCCAGCAACATGATGGCAGGCTGGAGTGAGAGGCCCAGGAGTCCTTTGGGAAAGGCCACGGCCAATGGACTTCAGGGCCAGCAGTGCCTGGTGGTTTTGGTTTTAAGTTTTTTGTGTGAGAATTTCCCTATGTTATCTTCAAATCCTCAGTCAAGTCTCCCTAAATGTGATGGCTGAGTATTTAGCTGTGCTGGAGGCATCAGCAGGTGGGGGTGGTTGGTGCCCCAGCTGTTGATACTGGAGAAGGGAGAAGCCAGCATACTCCACAGAGCCCCCTGCCCTAGGGGACTTTTCAGACGCCCAGAGAGGGGCCTGGCCTTCCTGCAGTCAGGCGGGACGGCAGCTCAGACAACCGTTCTGCAGATCCCAGGGAGACTGGGTTACGCTTGGGCAGTGCTTGGAACTTGATAAATGGTGGCCAAGAATGTGGTAATCAGAAACCAAAGTTCTTATTCTCATGCGCCCTTGCATCACAAGGATTTTTACTGCCTGAAGTTTGCCTGTGGATGTAGCTGCTGCTCACTATGTTCACCTCACCCTCCTCTGGTACATGGGCCTTTCTCCCACTATTTCTTATATCCACCCGAGCCAGGCTATGTCCACTGGCTTCAGGCCTGGGCTTAAGTCTGGCTCTGCCTTTTTCCAGCTGTGTGTTCCCAGGCAAGTTCCTTAGCCTCTCTAGGCCTCAGCATCCTCATCTGTACAATGGGGATACTAATGTCTATAATAGGCCTGGGGTTGAGCTGGCCACTCAGTGAGTGTCCGTACATGAAGCTGTTAACTCCCTCTGGTAGGCATGTGGCAGGTGGATGAGGCCTGGAGACAAAAAAAGGTGCTGGTAATTGGGAGCTAGCCCTTTCACAAGCGAATTCTCTCTTTTTGGTAGAGAATGGGCCAGGGCCAGTGTCCCCCGGGCAGGGTGTTACTGGGCTTGGGTAACTAAGCCCCCTCCCCCTAGCAAACACAGAACCCTGGGAGGGGCCAGACCAATACTCACCACCGAGGACAGGTCCACGTTCTCCACCCTCCTGTCGTCCAGCTGCACAGGCTGCAGGCCGGCCACACGTAGCTGCACCGAGGACGTGCGGTACACGAACCTTAGCAGCCAGTCTCCCCTGTGGGTGGGCGGAGAGGGAGCATCAGCCTCTGGAGGGCAAGGATGAACCCAGGGAAGTATGGTGGGGTGGTGCTTCTGCGGGAAACCAGGGCCCCTGACTGTGCCTGCCTGCCCATGGAGAGTAACGATGGATACCTCTGAAGTGCTTCCTGAGAGCCAGGTACTGCACCACAGGCTTTGCGTGACCACACTCTTAGGCAAACACCACGTTAGCTCCATGAAGGCCGAGAACAGTGCCTGGCCCTTATTAGATGACTATCTGTCGAATGAATGAATAAGGAGATGAGGGTAAAGTTCTCACAAGTCAGCCTGTTGCTCAGGAGAGCCGTTCTCAGCTGGGGGTGAGGTTCCAGTTCCTTGGGGAGGAAGCAGGGGACCTCCTGGGAGGAGGAACTGGGGGGGAAGGACTATGAGGAGCTGTCCCCCGCATACTGTGTGTGTGTGTGAGGAACTCTGGGTTCTAGGTCTATCTATGAGCTGGAGGGACCAGCTCTGCTTTCTGAGGACAGACCTGGCTGGCCTGCAGGTCCTCTCTGTCCCCAGCCACATCTGAGAAAGCGTGGATGGCCGTCCAGGTTTGCCAGAGCCCTAGAAACACTCCTCCACCTGCACTGGTGCTGTAAACCCCACTCCACCCAGACACACCCACTCCCAGCCAAACACACTCCACACTCTCTAGGGAAAGCAAGCCTGGACTATCTGCTGCCTATTTCTTCAGACGCAACAAGCCACGCTCACGGGGGACATGTTTGGAGGGGCCCAAAAGATAGCCACCCCTCTTGAACCTCGGGATTTTATGCTGGGTTGAGCTGGGCCATCCAAGAGCTGTGTGCGTGGGTCTCGCTGCTTAGCAAGTACATGAATGTGCTCATTTCTGTTCTCTCCTTCTGCATCCAGGACTGAGCTCCAACCCTGCACATCTGGGTTTCTTTTATTTAGACCATTCCTCTGGCTCCTCCGATTCTGAGTATGGTTTGCAGGGGAACTTGAGTCCATTATTTTTGTAAGTCTGCTTGAAAAAAAAGGCCCTCCCTAACAGCAGTGTGTAGTGAGAATGGACCGAGAATCGGGGCTCTGAGGCCCCACCCTGCCATAGCCTGCACTGACCACAGGTAAGTCACTCAGCCTCTCTGGGTCCCAGGGTGGTGGTGATGAACTCCTTAATTCTCTCCAGAGAACAATGCTTTCAAGTCCCGATGATTATCTTAATGTAGGGGCCAAGAAACACTGTCTCTAAGAATGGATGGCTAAGGGGAGAAGAAGGGAAATTAACTTAGATCTTTGGGAGTTTTACTTCAGAAGAATTCCAGTTATTTTACTGAACTAATCATAAGACTTATGAGCATCAGATAGTGGCTATGAGGATGGTTTGTAAACATTACCAACATAGATGGTCATAAACAAATAAAGACAGCATCATTCCTACCAAATTGTTGTAATCATGACACTTTACTTAAAATGTTAATTGCACTTATTTATACACCTTCAGGGACAGAACAGGAATACTTATACATCAGAAGGCTTCATTTCTACTCCATTGTGTGAGCAAACCACTATGGGCCTTCACTGGCATTTAAGACCTCTCTCGCCTGGTGTGGGCCACAAGCGGCACTCTGTACCACTCAGAGCCAGGTCCAAGTCCTGCTTTGCCAGTTACTAGCTGTGTGACCTTGGACTTGACCCTCTGAGCCTCAGTCTCCTCACCTGTAAAATGAGGATAGCAACTGTGCTCAGTAAGCATCAGGTATGATTTAGTGCCTCCTGTACCCCCATGTCCACACTCTTTTGCTCCATCCCTACTGATCTGGCTGCTTCTGTGTGGTGTGTGGTGTGGCAGCTCCTGCTCGGCCTCCTTTCCCTCCTCTGGGCTCCTATCCATCCTTTCAGAGCCCTGCTGGTGCAGTGGTTAAGTGATACGGCTGCTAACCAAAAGGTTAGCCGTTCGAATCTACCAGCCACTCCTTGGAAACCCTATGGGGCCATTCTACTTTGTCCTATAGGGTTGCTATAAGTCAGAATTGACTCAATGGCAGTGGGTTATCTATCCTTTCAAAAACTCAGCCTGGATGTTGCCTCCTCCAGGGAGCCCTCCCTCAGCCCCGCCATCCCACAATTAACTCCTGGCTCCCCATGTGCCTCTGTGCCCGGGACATGCTCCTTTTGTGATGTTCCTCATGTGTCCTCCTGTGTATCCGTTCCTGGGCCTTTCTCCTCTCTTTCTAGGTGGGGAGCTCCTTGAGAGCAGGACTGTGCTTTACTCTTCACTGTATCCCAAGCAACTGACAGGGCCCCTGGTACAAGTGGGAAGTCACAAAGGGTGAATGAATGAACGGATTGCTGGATGACTATCAGAGACACTGATCGCTCTAATCCCTGAATTGGCTGAACATCACTTTGCTGAAGAACAGACTCTGGCTGTTAAGTGACTCCTAGCTGTGGTTCTGGCCTGTGTGTGGAGGTCACAGAGCAGAGACTTGCAAGCAAGGGTAGGAGGGGGCACCTGAGATGAATTCTGGATGAATGCTTGGCTGGATGGACTGGCCTGGGTTCAGATCCCTGCCAGGCATTGAGTAGCTGAGCCATCCAGGGCAAGTCATAAAACTCCGAGCTTCAGCTTTCTCATTTTTAAAATGAGGACAGGAACACCTGTTCCATAGGAACACTGCTCCCACACACATGCCAGGATTCATTGTGATATAATGCATACAAAGTGCCTGGCACATGTGGTAGGTGCTCAGCAAATGGCAGCTATTATCAAAACCAAGCTCTGCTGCCACCACCCCCTCAGTGTGCTAGATCAGCGCTCTTCAATACAGGAGCCCCTGAAATGTGGCTAGTGTGGCCGGGAAACTGAATTTTACATTTTATTTATTTTAATTAGTTTAAATTTAAATAGCCACATATGGCTAGTGGCTGCTATACTGGACACTAAAGTTCTAGGGCTTTGCTATTCCAGGTATGACCTGAGCTTGCTAGAAACGCAGAGCCCTGCCTGTCCCAAACAACGAGAAAAACAAACTTGTTGCTGTTGAGTCAATTGTGACTCATAGTGACCCTACAGAACAGAGTAGAACTGCCCCATAGGGTTTCCAAGGCTGTAAATCTTTATGGAAGCAGACTGCCGCATCTTTCTCCCACAGAGCGGCTGGTGGGTTCGAACCGCTGACCTCTTGGTTAGCAGCCAAGTGCTTAACCACTGAACCATCAGAGATCTTTTTGCATGCCCCAGACCTCCTGAATCAGCACCTACATTTTAACAGGATCCCCAGATGATTGATTCTATGGAGCGCTAGTGGCACAAAGGTTAAGCACTCAGCTGCTAACTGAAAAGCTGGTGGTTTGAACTCACTCAGCAGCTCCACGGGAGAAAGATCCTGGCAATCTGCTCCCGCAAAGACTGTTGTTGTTGTTGTGTGCTGTCAAGTCAATCCCGACTCACAGTGACCCTATAGGACAGAGGAGAACCGCCCCATAGGGTTTCCAAAGCTGTAATCTTTACGAAAGCAGATTACCAGGTCTTTTCTCCTGCAGAGCTGCTGGCAGGTTCAAACCATCAACTCTTTGGTTAGCAGCTGAGCTCTGAACCACTGCAATATCGGGGCTCCTCCCATAAAGATTACAGCCTAGAAAAGCCTATGGGGCAGTTCTACCCTGTCACATGGGGTCGCCAACAGTCACAATCCACTTCACAGCACCTAACAACAACCAAGTGATTCCGATGCACTTTAAAGTTTGAGAAAACTGGCCTTCGGCGGGATCGGCAAACTAGGTGTGTGGGCCAAATCTGGCCTGTTTTGGAAGGAGCTAAGAATGGTTTTTACATTTTTAAAGAGTTGTAAACAAGCAAACAAACAACAAGAAGAATAGGCAAAAGTGACTGCATGTGTGCAAAGCCTACAATATTTACTGTCTGGCCCTTCACAGAAAATGTCTGCTGACCCCTGATCTAAGGCATTTCTGCTAGGGATCAAGGAGGACATCAGAGGAGGCTGCCTTCCCCTGTCCCAGACATCCCATTCCCAGGCCGCTGGCTCTGGTCTGAGTTCTCAGGGCGTGGCCCTCCTCTTTGCTATTTCTGAGCAACTTCACCTGCATTAACTCACTGACTCTTCACAGAAGTCCGGCACGGTAGGAGTGATTGTTCGGGAGAACAACCTTCCGGGTTTGCTTGGGACCGAGGGGTTTCTCGGGATGCAGGATGTCCAGTGCTAAAACCAGGGAAGTCCAGACAAACTGGGATAAATGGTGCCCCCAGGTTAGCTCCATTCACAGATGAGGAAACCGGGGCCGCAGAGGTGATGGCCTGCTCAAGGCCTCACAGATGTCATACGGCAGAGACAAGATAGGCAGCCATGTCTGCAGGGCCTCAGAGGCCACGCTTGTCCCACTGTGCTGTGCTGCTTCTTGCATAATGGACCTCAAACTCTCCCTTCCTTCTTGTATTTTCAGCTTTCACAAACTGAGAAACTTTTATTAAAAGGCACAAATGCATTCATGGACGATCGTCAACTGAGCATCATCAGTTGATGCTAAACCCAGTTGGGGAAAGGCATTGGGGAGCAGGAGAGGCACTTGGTCTGTGTCACTCATGGATCACTTTTTAATCACAAAACAAAAAAAATGTGCCTTTACAATGGAGAGAGCTGACAGGCCAAGACCTCCCATGAGCCAAGTGGTCATGTGACATCAGTGACGGGAACAGGTGACGTTACGTCCTCTCAGTGCCATGCAGGGGGAGACACACATTGTCACTGGTGTTCTTGCCAGAAATGTCTGACCTGAATCGAATCGGGAGGAAACAGATGAATCCAGAATTGAGATGTTCTGTGGAACAACTGGCCTGGCTCTTCCAAACCTCCTGTCACCAAGAACAAGGGAGGAGGGAGGACTGTTGGGTGGACGGGGGCACTAGAGAGGTATAACTGCTAGATACCTCTTCTGAAACCTGTCCACCATGGGTGAACCTGTGGTATTTGAAATACTGGTGTCATAGCTTGT